CGGGCGGGGGTGGGGCGGAGGGGGCAGAGGTCCCCCGCCCGAGCGCCGTGCTCTCCCGCCCGCCGTGATCCGGTGCTGGTCGTGGGGTTCGGCGCAGAGACCGCGGGGGGGGGCAGGCTGTGGGGCCCTGCTCGTACTTCCCCCAGGCTCAGGGCCCCCCGGGGTGGGGGGTGGTCAGGGCCTTCCCTTGCCGCGCTGGGTGGCAGGGTCGGGTTACCATACCTCCGGGTTTTCCTGGACATGTCCTGTTGGGTCGTCCTATCTCCATCGGGGTGGTTTTTTAGAATATCAAGAAATGCCCAGGGTTTTTCCTCTGCTCAGCATTTAAGTTTTTCCCAGCGCTTTCCAGTTTGCCCTAGCAAGGAGCTGCTTGGGGTTGAGGGGAGCAGGGGAGGGCGATTGGAGGCAGGGGGCACCATGTGTGAGTGTACATGCATGTACTGTGTACATGCAGCTGGGCAGTGGAGTGGGAGCAGTCCTTGCAGCTGGGTGCAGAGAGGTCTGTGGAGGCTGGGGGTTGGAGGGCCAGGGCTTGTGGGATGTGAGGGAGCGGGTGCCTGCTAGCACTGGGGGAAGCTATCCGGGCCCCAGGGCTGCAGCAGGGTGGCAGAGGTAGAGGAGGTGCCTGGTCCTCCCGGGGAGGGGGCTGTAGGAGCCATTCAGGGGCAGTAGGGAGCTGCATGGTCGGGCAGGGGGTACTGGGTGCTCACAGAGACAGGGTAGCCTGGAGATGCTGGAGGAAGTCAGGTGTGAGGAGCACTAGCAGGGCTGGATGGGCTGTGGCTTAGGAGTGAGGAGCACCAGAGGGGGCAGGGGACTGTGCATCAGGAGTGTGGGGTACAGGCAGTGTCAGGGGGCTGTGGGTTGGAAGCAAGGGCTATCGGCAGGGACTGGGGCAGGCCTGCAAGTTGGGAGTGAACCAGCATGGTCTGAGGGGTGGGGGACTGTCTTTTGGGACTGTGGGGCAGTATCAGGGCTGGTGGTGCTGTGACTTGTGAATGAGGGGCAGGGACCAGGGCACTGGCATATCACTGCCACCTCCCAGTCAAATTATCTCCCCCACCCAGGTGTCCTCTTTTTTGAGACTGGAAATATGGTAATCCTACTCAGGGATGCACCAAACCATGGGGCAATGGCAGAGGGGAGGAGCAGGTGCAGAGCAGTGGGGCATCCTGGTGACAGGACCTGGGCCTCGGGTGGCTGTAGCAGCACTGGCCCCTCTGTGCTGTGTCAACGCAGGGGCTGGAGCAGCAGGTTTCTGAGTTCTGTCAAACTCCAGGGATTGGCTAGGTATCACTGGGGTTCATCCCAGAGGCCGCAGGCAGTGGCAGAGCAGAGCAGGCTGGGCTGTCTTGCCCCACATAGGGATAGGGGCTCAGCCATGGAAGTGACAAATGGGCCCTTGACTTCAGGAAGCTTGAAAACCGCCAAGGTAGAGCTTGCGGGACAAATAGCATGATCCTGCACAGCCTGACCTTCCCTGCCTCCTTGCCTGCATTGCAACTTGCAACAAGCCCAGCCACCTCTGTCCCTGGAAGCAAGTAGGAAGGGGCCCTGGAAATTAGAATAAGCTGTCAGTGAATGCCAAGGACAGAATGCCTGAGCAGTGCCTCTGTCCTTCACCCTGTGGAAAGGATAAGAGCATGGGGTACCGGGGTGAGCCTGTGCTCTGACCTACTCCACACAGCCTTTTGCAGAAGGAAAGCAGGATCATTTCTGCAGGCTTTGATAAGATAAGTCACGTGTAGGCAATTGCTGATAAATTTAAAGAAAGGGAATTGGCAGCCCAATCAGTTTGGTAATTAATTTCCCTGTTAATTTGGGTTCTTTGACTTGCCTCATAAATATTCATGATTCCCCACTTTTCTCTCGCTCTCTCTAACCCCCCCCCCCACACACTTTTTAATGTAATTTATTTACATGTTTGATATAAGCCTTGAAGGTGACATTTTCCTCCCTGAGCCAGAAACCAGCAGAGGATTGAGGCTCTTGGAGGTGTTGAATTTGGGTTTCTGAAGGGGAGCCTAGGCTGGGTCCTATTGTCTATCTGCCCATCCCTGTCCTCCCTCCCCACCTTCCCTTTATCAGCTCTCCACCACTAACAAAGGAACAAGAACAAAAGTATGTTGCTGGGGGGGGGGGGGGGGGGGGGGGGGGGGTCAGGGCACTATCACAGGCTGAACCCCCTAGACTGGCTTATGAAAATGTTTCATGTCACACCGGTTACCTTGCTATATCCTGGGTTGTGGGGGGTGGGGGGGAGTTAATTTTATTTTATTCTATTTAGGTTTTGATTCTGCCCTCAACCCTGCTGAGCACTATGACTAACATGTCACGTGGGCCGTTCTGTCTCCAGGGTGAGATCAAATAAAAGAAACCTGAGAGTAAGTTTGTTTTTATTCAAGAGCATAACCTTTCTTTTCAGTGCAGGCTCTTGGCCATTCTGTCTAGTGCTTTGTTGTCCCTCCTTGTACCTCCTGCCTGCCCTTGTCCTTCTCTTCTCTTATTCTATCCATGAGAAACTTGTCCATGTCATTTGTTTCTCTCTTATAGAAGTTCAGTGTATTCTACACCTACACACCAAAGGCTTCCTTGTCATCTAATTGTGACAGTCAGCTGTGCTATTTAGATTAACTTGTCCTGGTAGTTTAAAATCTGTTGAGCCTTTGAGCCTCCATCCAAATTCTATTGCAAGTGTGCTTGAAGATTACTGTCATTTTAGCAGAAATGGGGCAAATGGTTCCCTTCTTCTCATCCTGTGTAGATACTCTGGCCAGTGCCCATGTGCTTGGTCACATTCTGCTGAGCAGGGGTTAACTTTGCCTAGAAGCTATCTTCTTATGCAAGTAGATTGGTACACGTGATGGACCCCCACTTACAGGCTGCTTATAGAATGACCAGTTTCTTCTAATGACTGATCTTTGCTCCAATTTCTGATCTAGGCAGTCGCTTGGTGACAGATCTAAGAGCATGCAGGCAACCACTGGCTGCGAACATCAAAGGTCTCATTCCTGTATATACAGAGGTGGCAACAATCTACATGTGTCATTCAATTTGTGTAATGTGTAGGATGACATTGCCAGGCATTGTTTAGAGATGAGTATACACTTGACCAAAGATGGTTAGAGAGAGCTGAAAAAGCCTCAACTGTGAAGTGTCCATCCCTGTGTGCCCCCTCTCCTCCCCCTTTCCCCCGCATGAAAGTAACTGGTTTCTGAGGATGTGGGGGAGATGAAGGGGGTTGGCTGCAGCTAAAGCTGAGATTTTTGACTGAGGTGAGCTGATGCTCATGCCAATACTAGAAACTTGGAGATTCCTGGCTAGAGCATCTTGCTTTCCCACTCAGGGTCACATGAGTTACCAAATAGGTTGTCAGGAGGGAATTTTTTGCTTCAGTTACACTTGCATGGACTGTGGGGTTTTTACTTTCCTCTAGCATGGGGCACAGTTCTCTTTCTAGGATCTCCTGAGTGTATATATTAATCACTTCCTTCCGTATGTCTGCTGGTCCTCATCACTCCAGTTTTTACCTGTGGTGGGTGTTCTTGGTATTCTGGAAATTTATTCCCTGTAGTTGGGGATGACACTTCCAAGTGGCTATTTTTCAGAAGGCAGCTGGACTGGGTGGCCTAGGAAGCCTTTTCAAGTCCCATGTTCCTGTGTGGACCTCATCTAGACCATTTCCTACCCACGCAGCTGTGTATACTGTTGGGTGTTAAAAAAGCTTCTGGTTCTCTGAAGGTGGAGAAGGGAGGCAGAAACAGTGCCCGAAACATGATTGTGGTGGACTCCAAGGGGCCAAGAAATTTGTGGCTAAAATTGTTCAGCTCCTCTGCAGGCTTGGTGGGTGAGCTGCTCCGGGAGGTGGAGAGCAACAATAAAGGTTGTACCTGGTGTCTACCTCTTTATGTGCTCTGCAAGTATCGTGGTGGTCCTCCAGCCAACGCAGGATGCTTAATAGTTCCCCAATCCACATGCTTCCCCCTGCAACACCCTTTTCTTTGTCTCCTTTGCACAGGCTGCTAATTCCAGTCAGGGAAGAAAAGCCCAGCCTAGCATGACCAGCATTCAGACATGTGGAAAGGGAGAGGAGGACTTTGCAAAATATAACTACTTCAAAGCTAACTACTACCTTTTACACTCAAGTGGACACTACTAACAGTGTCTCGGCAGGCTCTCACTCCTGACCTCAGGCAATATACTAACAAAATGCAGAAGTCCTAGGTGTTTAGCAGGTGCCTTGAAATGATGGTCTCTCATAATTTTATCCAAGACATTCCACCCTAGAGTCAAAGGGCAACAAACTGGGGTGACCCAGGGGCTCCAAGCCATTTCCCCAAGTGTCCTGCTCTGTGTCCTTGGGGCTTTGAGAAGATTTTCCCCCTGAAGTGACTCTTCCCACCTAGCAAATCTCAGTCTAACTAATGCTACAACTAGTCCTTGCAGCTTAGTGGGGGAAGGCTCCATCAACTCTCAGATTCTCTCAGGCCTGCAAAAGGACAGAGATCTGCCAATTTTGTGAGAATGGAATGCCCATGGTTGTCAGCACCCCTGAAATCACTCAGCACAAAACAATCACTAAGGCATAAAACAGAATAAGATTTATTACATGGGATAGGAAGAACACACAAGGAAAAGGAACTGTTAAGCTTGGAGACAAATAGGCAAAACAATAGAAATATTTCAATAGATAATAGAAATATTTCTATATATAATATTTCTATTGAGATATATGTCTATTGAGATATAGAAATATATCTCAATAGAAATAGAACAATAGAAATATTTGCAAAACAATAGAAATATACTTCTCTCTTCTTGCTTGAAGCAGCTTCCAAATGACTTTTGTCTTGTGTTTGCATGAGCTAGCAATCCTCCCAGCTTTTCTCAGCCTCCCTATCTAGGATCTCTCTGTCTTCTCTTAGACACCAGGAGATATAGATGTAACTTCTCTAATTGCTATTTCCCATCTTTCATTTCTTGTTCTATTGCTCAGGGTACACGTGCTCTCCTTCCCCTAGACAGACAGCTGTGACAATTTTGTGTGTCCTTTCTGACATGCAACTGATAGATTTTTCCTTCTGAAATGCATTTGGCTGCTGTTTCATACATCCTCTATTCCATGTAAATACTCAAAGAGTTTTGCCGCCTCTATCTGATAGGTATCAGGCCAAAGCCTTTCTCAGGTATAAATAACCATTGTCTAGTGAGAGTTGCTTTTGTCACCTGAGCTGACTATAAACCTACTGACAATTTCTTGATTAGGTCAGATTACAAAAGTAGAAGGAGATACATTCGTATAAAATACCATGATTCATAAGAATGCAAATGTAGCTCTTTAGCTGTTATAACAGGCCAAACATGAGGGTAGCAAACCTAATTTGAGGAAATATCTGTGCTTGTATAAATAATGTTCCCTGAAATTAAAAACAGCATAAATGTGTAACCCATGACACAAAGCAACGTTAATAGAATCTGTTTCAGAATAATTGCTTTCTTTTTCTGTTAACAAAGTGAGAGCCGCCCCCAAGTTCTGCATTCTGATTTTTATGACAATTTGGTTTGCAGTGACAGCTAGCCTACAAGAAAGTTTTATTCTTTTGAAAGATAATTCCTCTGATCTTTGCAATTTCAGTAGAGTCACAGCAGGGAACAATTTTGCTTCCCCACACAAAATTGCCTCACTAGCCGTTCAGGAAAACAACCTCCTTGATAAAGCTATAAATATATAAAGCACTATAGCACTGAACCAGTGTCAAGGGTTTAAATTCATAAAATTCATTGTTGCTCTCCATCATCATGAATGTTCTAAAAAACCAGAGCAAGAACATTTAACTTAGTGCTACACACCTGCTACCATTGATGTTCCCAGCCGTAAGTCCTCACTGCTTAACAGTAGGGGCAAGAGGTTTGGTGTGGGCGGTTCAATCCTTGCTACTTACTTCACCTTAGCTTCTCCAAATACTGTGTAAAATGCATCAGGCAACTATGACAACAACAATGTTGGCCACTGAAAAATACTTGCAAGGAAGCCATCTTTAGTTGTCAGCCTCCCAAAGGCTACTCCAACCAGTCCTATGTTAGTAGAATTCTACTACAGATGGAACAACCTGGATCATTTTGGTCTGGGGATAGCTCCATACACTGAAGCATGCAGGTTCTCCACGATAACACTGGGCATGGAAACACGACTCATGTCTAGGCTGTGGGGAGTGGGAATACAATTTGGCTTTTCCCAATTTTGAATAGCTGAGAAACTTGAAAGTTGCTTCATATGCTTTGCCTAGACACTCCTGACCTGCTGGGTCAGGAAAAGCTTAATGAGGAGTTCCAGGGAAATATTTTTCCTCATCCTTCTGGTTGTCCTGGATCTTGAGAACAGCATGACTGCTGTTCGTAATGAAGGGAAAGAATCTCTCTGCTGAGATTAATTTTTGAGGACAGAGAGTTCAGCTTTCCACCCCTTTATTTGGGTCAGGCTAAATGACCTTTGCCCTCCCTTGCAATCCTAAGGTTTTGTCCCACTGGGCTAAAGCTGTTGGCCAGCTCAGAAACTGTGACTCACGTGGGCACTTCAATTCCCTATTCAAATATACATCTAGATATCTGACTGGTAGCGGGGAGGCCTGTCTTCCAGTTCAGTGTCCCACCCTTGTCTTCTCTAGAAGCTCCCCGAAACACCTTCTTGGGCACCTTTGCAGCTATTTCATATTACATTTAAGTCAAGATTGATGATGATGATGAAAATGGGGGAAAACGCAGGATGGCTAACAGGAATTCGTAGATTTCATAGACGTTGGGGCTGGAAGGGACCTCGAAGATCATAAAGTCCAGCCCTCTACCCCAGGGGCAGGAAGTCAGCTAGGGTCAAAGAATCCCAGCAAGATAAACATCCAAATGTTTCTTGAATGAGTCCAGAGTAGGTGTCTCCACCACTTCTGGAGAGAGTCTATTCCAGGTCTTGGGGGCTTGGACAGTAAATACATTTTTTATGTCCAGCCTAAACCAGTCTTGGAGGAGTTTATGACCGTTGGTCCTGTTTTTTCCTTGGGGTGCTCTGGTGAACAGACATTCTCCCAGATCCTAATGTTACACCCCTTATATACTTATAGGCAGCCACCAGGTCCCCCCTGAGCCTGCACTTTTCCAGACTGAAGAGTCCCATGGCGCTCAGCCTCTCTTCATAAGGCCTATTCTTTTGCCCTCTGATCATGCACATGGCTCTCCTCTGGACTCTCTCAAGCTTCTCGACATCATTCTTGAATTGCGGAGCCCAGAATTGGATACAGTACTCCAGCTGCAGCCTCACCAAGGTCAAGTACAGCGGGAGGATGACATCCTGAGATTTACTTGAGAAGCATCCCTGGATGCAAACCAGGGTTTTGTTTGCTTAACCAGCTGGGACATTGCATTGGTGACTCATGTTCATCTTGTGGTCAATCATGACTCCCAAGTCTCTTACAGCAGTGGTGCTAGCAAGTGTAGCACTGCCTATAAGCATGCTATGGGGTTTTTTTTCGCCGAAGCGGAGTACCTTATGTTTATTGGTATTGAATGTCATCAGGTTTGTATCCGCCCACTTATTAAGTTTATCCAGGTCAGCCTGGATCACTAGCCTGTCCTCAGGCGTGGACGCTATGCCCCAAAGGTTAGTGTCATCAGCGAACTTAGCCAGCGTACTTCTGACACCAATGTCCACATCATTGATAAAGATGTTAAAGAGAACCTGTCCAAGGACAGAGCCTTGGGGGACACCACCGGTCATGGAGCGCCATAATGATTTGCTACCATTGACCGCTACTCTCTGGGTCTGACCTCGGAGTCAATTTCCCAGCCATTGGACTGTGGTGTAGCTGAGGCCACAGTTGGCCAATTTTTCCATGAGGAGGTCATGGGACACCAGATCAAGAGCTTTTTTTAAAGTTCAGATATATGACATCAATCTCTTCTCCCTTGTCCAGGTAATATGTCACCTAGTCATAGAAGGAAATGAGGTTGGTCAAGCAACACCTACCTGCGACAAACCCGTGCTGGCTATCCCTCAGGATGTTACCCTCAGCCAGCTTATCCAGAAGGGTCTCCTTGATAATTTTTGCCAGAATCTTACTAGGGATTGAGGTCAAGCTGATTGGCCTGTAATTCCCAGGATCTACTTTCTGCCCTTTCTTGAAGATGGGTACCATGTTGGCCTTCTTCCAGTCTTCAGGTACGTCACCTGAGTGCCACGAGTTTTCGAATATTTTTGCCAATGGTTGAGCTATGACACCTACCAGCTCCTTGAGTACTGTAGGATGTAATCTGTCAGGACCAGCTGACTTGAAGGCGTCCAGCCTCTCAAGGTGATCCTTTACTAGATCAACACCGATGCTGGGTATACATGTGCCCTCACCCTGGCCGTCCCTCTTCTTGCTAGGCAGGGCGGTTCCATTGGACTAATGAAAGACCGACGCAAAGTACCCATTAAGCAGACTGGCCTTTTCCTGGGTGTCAGTTATCAGCTGTCCTGTTTGGTTC